ACCTTATACTTTGTATGTATATATTTGTATTTATACTTTTTTCAAACTGTGACATAAAATTTTTTAATAACTTTTCATCAGCTTTTTATTTTCTTTATATTCTGACAAACCAAAAGCACAGCCTAAAGAAGACAAACCCGAATCTTTACAATTCATATTGAGAAGGCCCACTGTTTATGGGTTTGTTTCCTAATTGTCTTAAATGCATTTACATATTTCTATATCGACTTCTCTATGTCAAATCAATGGAAAACTGCTTCAGTCTCTTAATTTGTAACATCATTACCTACTTTCTTTCTCTCCATGCAATTTTTTTCCCTTTTATTATTATTATTATTATTATTACTATTTGTTTTACACGTGGCTAAAATCCCTGTCATAATTATTTGCGGTTTGAGGCTCTCATAACTTGCTACATGTTATAGATTAGAAGGATCAAATCCTACAATTGCATATAGTTTTCTACTTGGTTTTTGGCCCTACAGAACCTCCAAAATGGAACCCATTTAATGGATACCCATATCATTTCTTTAAGGTTTTTTACCATTTATATCAATATCATGCAAGTATTTTGCTATTTCATACTACTAGTAAACGTTTACATGCATTTGCAGGTGGCAGTGCCTTGGGTGAAGTTAGATTTGTTTTGTTTCATACTTTCATGCATTTACTGTGTTTATTTAAGTCTTATCTATCTATTGATGATAAAGTGTGGAGGTTGTACGTGTTATTTCTCTTTTTAAGGACTCTTTAGTAGACTTTTTCTTATATGATTATAAGTGGATAATTTCTAAGAATAATTATAAGTGGATAGTTTATGAAGTGAGAATAAAGAATATATATGCTAAAAAATATTTAATGAAAATTTCAGAAAAAAAAAAAAAGAATAAAAACATATTTACCAAAATTGAACACCTTACAAACTGTGGGCCCCAAATCGAACATCACCTCAATTGAATTGCTTGGCTGCCTAAAAGTTTTTTTCAGTCACGAGTTGAAAATGAAACATAATTAATTAAAGCCACCCTAAACCACGTAAACGTCCTTGCCAAAAAAAAAAGAAAAAAATTAAGACCACTTAAACGTCATGGTTGAATTGTGCGTTAGACATGAAAATTTTCATAAATACAAAAATAAAAAATGAAAGCAAATGGAAAGAAAGACGGTGAGTAGATGAGATGATGATACGATGGAAATAGATGGGAGGGACCCAGTCACGCTGATGGTGTGTTGTGTTCCTTTCGTTCACATTACTTTCCTCTAGAAGCTTCGATTTCACATATATATTTGATCAAAATCAATACAAATCATTAGCGTATCACACATACAAGACGGGTGGGGTCTAACTCCTCATCTGATCCACAAGTCCCAAGAAACATCGATGTTTTCTTCTGTGGTTGGAACTTCATAATTGGTCATTTATTAGGAACCGTTTGGGAGGGTTAATTTCTGCATTGAATGAATTAGCGTTTATTGATCCATTTCGGAATAACTGGGAAGTTACTTACGATATATAGCCTCTTTTCGGTTTATGTAAGCCTTTTTCTTCCGGCTTTCTAGTTTTTTATTTATTTTTTATCAAACATGGCTCAATCAGGTTTCTCAGCAAGAAGCTATTGTGTGAAAGCCCTCTAAATAAATATTTAGACGGGACTTTTCTTTTTAGTTTTCATGACTAAAATTCAATGAATTGAGTGACTTTTATTGTCCCAGATTGAGGGGTTTTTAACCAAGCCAGGGCTGGTTCATTGGTCTGTTAACTGATTTGTTCCAGCGTGATGTAAGTGGTGTTTGGCATCAATGTTGTTGTTCCAGAAAACGGTGACACATCAGTGTTATGTTGGAAAAGTCGGTGCTTCAGAAAACGGTAACATATTTGAAACCATTTTTCCATAAAAAAATAGTGTTCCAAACCATACTTTAGAAATTGATAAGGCATAGTTTGGGGAAATGCTGAATTCAACGTTTTCTCAATTTGGAATTTGTTGTTGCAAGCGAGAATATGATGTGATAGTGATATGGACTTCATATAATGGGTACTAGTGCTGAAAACAGATATAAAGCAATAGTACCAAACAGAAGATGTTGCTGCTACCCCATAAAACTTCATAATTGACAGTAATATTTCCAAACAGAAAAAGAAATACTGTTTTCTCGGAAAATGGTGTTTTATGCAGCATCGATGCCAAACATATATGTAGAATCCAATCTTGCAACCAACAATTTGGAGAAAAAGGGGTAAGAGGAAATTATATGGTGCATAACACTGAATACCAAAAATAAATTAAAGGGTTTTTTATTGATTTTTCGGCCACATAAATTTTTATTAATTTATACATGAAAACAATGACAAATGGGAAATCTTTCATAAGTAGGGGTTTGAGTAAGTAAAATTTATGAGGTGGGGAAAACCATTAATTTCCCACATCAAAAGCCATGAATCAATATAAATTATAAATTACAAACGATTGGTGACCCATCTTTATTAAAGATGATTGTGCCAATTTTAACCTTATCGTGTAATAAAAAAATAATTAAATAAATAAATAATAAAGTACGTGAAGGTATAGTGATTAACCCAACATCAACTATTCAGCCATTAAAGGAACTGAGGACATTTTTAGTAGATTGCTTTCCATTTGTTTGCATTGCAAATCTGAATCAAATACAAATTTTACACATCATCCAGTTTTACATCTCTATGATACAAAAATTAATTTGCACTTTTTGTCTCATTTACCTGTAAATTTTGCATCTCATGAACTGCTGTAAAATTTGTCCCAGTTTCTTCCAACCTCATTTCTCTCTCATATAAAGTGGGAACCATATCATCTCACTCCCAAACAAATAACCTTCCTCCTAACTCCATTCCCTTGCTTATAAGGTGGAAACCACATCATTTTACTTCTTACAAATAAATAAGAACAAAAAGTAAGCCAAATATAATTTGAATTCAGCCTGTTTGTACACATGCATTTTCGGATTTTTCTCATTTGCACGGCAATCAAACGCCAAACACAGGCTTAGGCGAATAAGCCATCCAATTCAGCCACTTGAACTGTTTTCAAACAGCCCCTAAACACAGGGGTGATTGGCACTGCAATGCAATTGGATACACAGTATACACTATACAGGATGCATGGCCCACTATGACCAACATGGGTTTTGTGGTTGGTGGGCCATCTCTTGGATGGATGGGCATGTATGACCATTAGGGGTCGTTGGATGCCAGTTGCAACAACATCTTTTACAGACACTTCTCCCTGTTAGACTGTGAGTATGTTGTTTTGTCTAGTCTAGCAAAGCTAGTAGGGCTAGTGTTCCCACTTCATGCTCTTGTGGCCTTAATGGGTCCAGTCTTAGTAGCTCATTGAAACTTGCCTTTTTAGCCTTTTCAAATGGACCCACCATTGGGCTAAAGCCTAACATGGCCACTGCCCAGATGCATTTTCCATAGACTCACAGAGACTGCAAAGAAGGAAACTGACAAACAACAATAAAGAAACATGTCTGGCCAATGCCCAGATCAAAGATGAGGTGGAAACGATGGGACTGAGTCGACTCAAACTTCCAAACCAATGTTCTTAAACCTTATTGGGCCATCAACATTGCACTTCTCAAGTTCTCAGAATGCATCGGAAACATCTTCCATATTTGTCATGGAGAGATATACTCAATACACGGTTGACATGTGCTGTGGGGTGTGTATGGAATGCACTCTGTGGGGCGCCCATGCAAATTCCTGAGTCAAGGTTGGACCTGGACCTAGATCCACCTTGACCCGGATGATGAACTGAACTGGGTAAAACAATAGAACCAACAGAACCGGATCTCACTAAACCAGACCATTTTATGGTGAAAAGATGGAGTAATTAAGGACCTAATTTGTGAATCATCTTCAGAGTTTGGAATTTGGTTTGATTCAAGCAACTGAAAACCCACATTTGTTGAGTTTTCTTAGTCTAGAATGAATAAAATAGTAATCCAGCCAAGATATATAAAAGGGTGATTATGATATGGTGGTATTTGCTCCAACAGTAGATAAGCAAAAAGTCAACTTATAGGCCGGTTGGGACCATGGCATTGATTGATTGATTTTTTTAATTCAGGGTCTGATTGGTTTTTTCTGGAACCGAGATCTTCCACAAGGAGGTCCATACGATTTGTCACATTGGGCCCCACTTCTGATATATCAATTGTATAAGAAAAAGGGACCACCAGGAAAGACAAAATGATCCAATGTATTACAACAACCATACAAGGTAGAATGGTTTCCCCACTGTCCGTAGGTGTTAACTCATGATTGATTTGACAGTAGCCATGACGTTTGGGAGAGTCACAGACTCACAAAAGTAGCCATGGGCCTAGACAGTTGGGAACATCTGAACTACCGATTAGGCGCAAATGGTTTACAAACGATGGGCCCGTCTCTTTTGGTTGGTGTTAGGTTAGGTCTGTCCTCGTGGCAATCCTTGACTCGATCCACCTTACAATTCTTTTTTCTCACTTTCTCCCCTCTCACCTGCACAAACATGAAACACCCATTAACCCGGGTTGGCATTTGGAACTCGGACCGGGTTTGATCCCCTAATCAGCATCAAGCCATCAATCACTATTGTGCCACATTAAATATAAAGGGGGGACCCAGTCACCCATTAGACTAAAATGGAACTTTGACCATGTATAGAGTAGTATATTTATACGTATGCGGGTATATTCAAGTGTATCTAGGACTTAACAATAATAGTTGGCCTTGGCCAATGACTGGGCCCTACAGAGCTAGGCATCCTTATCAACTGATCGTTAGTCTTTGGATTCTTTGGGAGAGGAGGAGAGAGAAGGAAGAAGAAACCAAAGTAAGGCTAAATGTAGGGTTCCAATGTATGGGGGAGGGATTTATTTATGAATTATGATGGAAAGTTCTAATAGAAATGAGTTAGAAGTAGATAAAATTATTGACAAGGCCCATCCTTTTGACTTCTTGCGTCTGTCAATAAATATATCCTTACTGTCCAAAACCTAGGTCTTCCAAAGAAAGGCACCCAATCCACTAAGACCCATTTGGAGAGGAAGATTGGTTGCTCAGAGGGTCTGAAGGAGAAGCAAAAGTTCAGAAGAGTTTCAGCAGAGAAATGGGGAGGGCTCCTTGCTGTGACAAAGCAAACGTGAAGAAAGGACCATGGTCACCTGAAGAAGATACAAAGCTCAAGGACTTCATAGAGAAACATGGGACTGGTGGGAATTGGATTGCTCTCCCACATAAAGCTGGTAAGATTATACCAGAAATAAAAAAAGAACCCCTTTTCATCAGTTAGAAGATTTTGATTTTCTTCTCTCTCTCTCTTTGGGTTGTTTGTAATATATCTAATTGGTTGCTTTGTGTCAGGTCTGAAGAGGTGTGGGAAGAGTTGCAGATTGAGATGGCTTAACTATTTAAGGCCCAACATAAAGCATGGAGAATTTTCTGATGATGAAGATAGGATAATCTGCAGTCTGTATGCAAGCATTGGAAGCAGGTAGCTTCATTTCTATTTTTTCTTCTTGCTTCAAAATGTGCAGTTCTAGATCTTTTATTTATATATTTTTAATCTTTTTTCCAAAACTGGTCTGATCGTCCCTATTCTCTTTCCCTTCTCTTCCTTTGTGAAAGTTAACGAAATTCATATATCAAAGAAGGAAAAAGATGAGGAACAAAATTGAAAAAAAAAAACAGAAGAGCATTTAGTAGATCGCTCTTTTTTTTTTTTTCTGGGAAACATGCATGGTTCAAAGATTCTGCTATTTTTAGATAATTCTTCTGCATGCATGCCGAGTCTGGATCTCATGAATTTTACTGTACAGCTTTTTCAAGAGAAAGCTCAGACATTTCTTCTTCTTATGGAACTTATTCCTTCTGGGTGCAGGTGGTCAATAATCGCTGCTCAGTTGCCAGGCAGGACTGACAATGATATCAAGAATTACTGGAACACGAAGCTGAAGAAGAAACTCATGGGAATGGTTCCCTCTCAGAGGAAACCATCTCAGCCAGCCTTACCAACTCATCTCCAAACGGCATCATCATCACCCTCACTTCCATCTTCTTCATCATCTTATGAAGGTAGCGGTACTTACTACAACCCAGGCAGATCTCTCACAGGGCTTGAACCCATTTCAATCCCATCAAATCTTCTGAGTGGCACCAATACTCACACAACAACACCAACCAGTACTCTTCTTCAGACCCAGGAGAGCTTCATGAGTTCCATGCATAATGGGTATCCAGTAAATGAGGGTCTCCTCATGTTTGGAGGCGAACCCAGTTGCAGCTCTTCTGATGGAAGCTGCAATCAGATCAGCTATGGCAAAGATATGGAGTATGAATACTGTGGCGGCCGAGGTGGTGTTGCCAACAGTGAGCAAATGGATTTGGAGAGCTTTTTCTACAATGGTGTTTCCGAAGACCAGAAATTCATGGCTGAGGGTAACAATGGTGGCTGTGGCGTTGATGGGTGGACTCAGAAGCCAAATGGGGTGTGGGAGGAAACTCCATTAGATTATGGTCTGGAGGAGATTAAGCAATTCATTACCAGTAATGCCTGTAACAGCTGCTTCTTTGATGAAAACAAGACACAAGGGAGGGTCGTGTACTATTGACACTGACTGTAAGTAAAATCAGAAGATTTTAGGAGTAAGGTGGTTGCAGATTCAGATTTAGACCCATATTTGTGTGGAAGGGATTATGTTTGAGGTGAAATACTTTTGACAGTACATGGTAAAGTTACCTTTGTGCATTTCTTTTTGGGAAATGATGTATGTGCTCGTACAGTTTTTCTTCAGAAATAAATGTCATAGAAACTAGAGAAGCCATCATCATTCAAGAATCAAAACCAAGCATGCACTGTTTTTATTATTTATTATTTTATTCACTCTGTTATTTTGGTCCCATTTTTTTTTCTCTAAAAAATTCAACCTGATAAAGCCATTGTAGAAGCCTTGGATTTCGTGGGAATTGAAGCTTAAACAACGAGGAAAATGATAATCATGATCTCAGTCGTCTCAGAAGGAAACTTTAATTTAATTTTGATTCTAAATCCATTACTACTGTGACACTCAAGGAATGCAAAACAGGAATTTGTTTTGATCTTTCAATCCTAAGGGCTGATATATGCTACCAAAGCGTGGCCCCCACCATTGGGCCAAGAATCCAAGATTGATTTGAAAACAAATTAAATGGGTTAAACTAATCCCACTAGGGGAACCAATAATTTAAAAAAGGGTGATGAAGGAAGTCTTGAATGCAAGTCACGGAGAATCCTTCTTGGGAAGCAGCCTAGGGCTCCAAAAATGTATGATTGCAGGATTTTGATGCCTTGAGAAGATCATTGGTTGATGGCTTTTGTTGTGTGGTTGAGACAGCTTTTTCTGGGTTTTCTTTTTCTTTGAATAAAAAATCAATATTGGAAGATGTATCCACTCTCCTCTATCCATTGACCTTGTCTCTCGTCAGCCTTTTTGTTTGCATCTTCTATGGGATAATGGGTTCAATACTAGATTTAATTAAATTATTTTATCTGGGGTTTGCCAGCTATTGCTGTATAAAATAAGATAAACACAATTATTTATCATTAATAAATGAAATTGTCTAAAGCTAGGGGAGGAAAGTTGTTTCTGGGAATGTCTTTTCGAGTGAAGAGGAGAGGGGGTTAAAAGGTGAGGAGCCCACTGTAACCGAAAATAATTTTCTATTTCTTTTGGCTACTTCAAGTCTGATGCACGTTTTCTAAACAAAAAGAGGATGAACAGATGAAACTTTGGACGTTTGCATGGAGAGAGGTATCATTCTTTTTTTTTTTGTGTGTGTGTTTCTTTGCTGGGAGGTAGAAGCTGGCTCTGTGTAGATTTTGATGAAGATCCAATCAGTGGACCTCGAGTAGTGTGATTTAATTGGTAATGTCATCTGATTAATGGAGTCTGAAATTGACCATTGCCGTGTAAATCTAATCTTCCATCAACATTCAGCAACTATAATGGGCAATCATGGTGTTAATGTAATTATTTGTTACAGACTTTGAGGCTTTCGAGAGCTCTGGAGGAGGCCACATTAATGGTTCAAATTTGCTTGGTATTTGAACTAAATAAAGTAAAATCAAAGTTTGTAATTGTTTCACTTTTCTTTTTGTGACTTGCAGGGATTCGATAGATTCATTTATTTTTTATTGTAACCAGCGATTAGTCATTCAAGAGGTGCATAAAAGAAGATAAAAAGATGTAGATTTGACTGGTATTTATATAGTACAGTTGCCACAGCTTTTAATATATGCAGTGAGTGAATTATTTTTATGTGGGGGGATATTGATATTTTTTATGTAGGCCAAAAAGACAAAGCTACCCTCTTTGTATCACTTTTGCCATTATCACAAAAAGGGTATTCTTGTCTTTTCAAAGGAGATATGTCCCATATGTCGAAAGTGGCATTTTACCCTATAAATGAACCATTGAATTGCATTTTTTATTAGGAAATTTTATCCATATTAGTATATGTGCAATATTATTATTATTTTCAAGTTTCAACTACTTATAAAAAAGGTAAAATCCAAAGGGTTGCATTCTTGGTTTTATTCCTAGGTCTAACAAGGGATGTCTATTGGATCGGATCCGGTACAGATTAAGGTTAGACTCAACTTGAACCCGACCCGGCCCAATTAAATGGGAAGGGACCATCAAACATAACTTGACCCGTCAATATATAATGCATCTCAGCATCTATACCCAAACAAGCCCAGAGATCGGGTTTGGCACAAGCCGAATTCAACCCAATACCCGATCAAGGCTGACCCGCCAATAACCCAATAAGGTTGGGTCAGTGAGGATTTACCACTTAACTTAGACCCACTGGCATCCCTGTCTATCCTTTTATATATTTTAATAGTAGAGCTTTATTATAATTAAAACACCTAAGAAACAACCAGATTAATATGATAAAGTTAACATAGTATCATGGCACAAAAACATGCTTTGGCAATATTCTTTGATTCTTTCCCAAGTAATAACAATAATGGATATATACCTAATCCTACCCCATGGGAATAAGTTTCACATTTCCCATAGTTTTTTGTTTTTTTTTATTAATTTCTTTTAAAGGGCTACACAATGGGGGTAGCCCATCCTTCAACCCATAACCTCCCCAGGTGCAGGCGGGATTCAATCCCAAGTCTCTACTATGACCAGCAGGAGACCTTACCAATCAGCTGGTTGGCACCTTTGCATTGCACATGAATTGACGCTCATCTTCAGAATTGATTAGCTGAAAAAGAAAATAACCTGAGGATGTAGACATAGTTTTGAAAGCTTATGCCAGTTTGAAACAACACCTCGTGTTGTATTTGTATTCTTGGAATTTATGAACTTCTGTGATAGCCTAGTATTATCATGAGGATCTATGGTCATGAGAGTTTGATAAAAATTTTAGCCAACTGCCAATCTCATGCAACCCTCCTTTTATATTAAGACTTGGAACCTGCAGTGTAAGACAAATTCGCATTGACGGAGTCCTATGGTTGTGCTGAAGATTAAACAGTCTAGATGGACCCTTTTACCTAGCAGAGATTACTAGATAAGTAGAAATGCCAATGAGGGAGGGTCCCCCTCCCTGCCCCATAGCCAATCTCCTACCCCGCCCCCGCCCCTGCCCCATCCTCAGTGGCAAGCTAGGGTGGGACAGGGATTCAACCCCCATCCCCATCCTCACCGGAATCCCCAACTTTTCCTCGTCCTGAGGCAATTACCTAAAAAACATCAAACCTAGAGTGTATTTTAATAACGGGGCTATGGGAATTTGAGGGTATTTTAGAAATGGGGTCATAGGATCCCAAGGTTTTAGAAATTTGGGAGAAATGGGATTGTGTAAATCATGTTGTCGTATATGTTCAACACCTTATACATTCAAGGATATTTTAGAAATTAATATTAAGCTTAGGGGTATTTATCAACAGACTCTGGCCCTACCCTACTCGGGGTGGATCAAGGCCCTGGTTTTATGGGGAAAATTGTCATTCCTATAGATAAGGTTTTGTTACAAAATCGAGAAATATGACACAGTAGAATGGTTCTTTGTAGAGTCCAATCTAATTACTGAGATCAAAAGGATTACACCATGAGTTGTTGAACTTCAACCATGTATGGAAAACTAAGAACAGGTTTAAATGTAACAGCATCAATGTGGGTGTTTGGCATCGATGCCTTTTTCGAAGAAAATATGGCGCCACATCAGAGAGAGCAGTGCTTCAAACAACACTCTCTCGTTTGATACCATTTTTCCAGAAAAAAACGTTGCTCCAAACTTCACGTTGGTACCGTTTTCTCATAAAGTTGTGCTTACAACTCAATATACCCGACACCGCTTTTCTCAAAAAACGATGCAATGTTCCCAGCACCGATGCCAAACACCTACAATGTCCCCCTGCTGATGAACTAGCTATCTCGGCCAATGCACCGTTTACTACAATAACTCGCCGATTAAATTCGAATGGATGGTTAAATTCAGGTTGATCCGTTGGTATGCTTTTCTAACGTTGCTCAACAGTCAATATGTAAATACTAAACTGAAAGGCATGTCTTGATCACTTGACCCAGTAAAAGGGTTGACTCATCATTTATTTTGTTTACTCACTTTACTGTAGAACTGCTCTCAGAAGCGATTCAAACCTTCAAAGGCCAATTTCATATGTAGAACGGCCCAAACAAGCAATTCAAAGCTCTCAAAGCAACTCTATCGCCCAAAAGTAGCAACAAAAAAAGAGCACGTTGTGCCAATTTTGCCAACTTTTTTTTCCGTGCGTCTCTTGACTGTTGGAGTTGTGCCTTGAGCTCAGAAAAGGAAGAAAATATCAAAACATAATCATTTACTTTACAACCAAGGGACGCAGATCACACCAGGACAAGGCCATAAAGCCTAATGCACCTTGGATCGGATCATGTGTGGGTGGGCAGGAATTCGAAAAGGCAAGATCGACACCAGAACCAGACAAGGTAGATAAAGAAGATCCCCCAACCCTTTGATCCATGAAATTCCTTGTAAACCCAATTGTATTCTTCTATCAAACCCACAATTGAAGAGTTCCAAACCAAAGAATAGCCTTCCATGCCTACCTGGGGGATAAGGTGGCCTCTACCATGATATTTTAAAGAGGCAAAGGTGATCCTTTCTTCATGTCCCCCATTGGTGAAAATATGTAACAGCGGCCTTCATCCATTCAAGTTCACTTTTGATCCTGAAAATTCTCTAGGGAGATCTCATGCAACTTTGAGGATTAACCCCCAGAAATCATGCCTTGTTACATTCATGACATATGGGTTAATTAAGAATTTAAGATGACTGAAGATGCGACCAGAGAAAATGGACGGTATTCTGTCAGGATAGGAAAGGAGATGACCGTTTTACTTCCAATTAGATTACTCCAAATTTATTTCCACAATATTGTTTCACAGTGACAATCTGACAATCCCTCATAAACAAGAAAACAGGACCTTGGCTGTCCTTTAATTGCACAAGACACCTGAGAAGAAAACGCTCGTCTTCAGTCCTCACAACCTTTACAGGGGAAGGACCTTGTGGAAACAAACACAAGAATCAGCAATGGTATCCCCACCAATTCAGAAGGGAAGTTAGATTACTCTTGAAGTCTAAAACGTACAACAGGTGATGATTTCCCAGGAAAAAAATCAACTAGATTTTAGCTTGGTGGTGTTGGATGTATTCTTTCCTTGCATGTGTTCATTCTGTAAAGCTGGTCTGAAGTTCCACATTTCTATAAATTGGCAAGTTCTTTCCCTTTCAGCACTTCGCAGTTATGGCTCAGAATCTGACATCCATTTTCAACTTGCAGTTTTTCCTTCAAACATCCAATAAGGAAGATGCCAAGCAATACACCTCAGGCTCCTCTTTTCTGATTAAAATGCAGCAGTTAAATGATAAAGCAAACCACATAGATTACAAGGTAGGGAAAGGTAATATTTAGTTACACTTTCAAAAAGAAATGAAATGTAATCCAACACACCAGCAGTTCAATATTTATATACTTTCATGGGTTGGGCCTCTGCATGTATCCAAGGCTGAACCAATTTTTGCCTATACCTTAAATTGTGCCCTGTAGGCTTTACATTGAGATATATGGAAGGGTTATATACAATTATAAATGCAAAAGAGAAAAGGAAAAGCTAACCAAGTGGATTAGCCATGCTTCCCTTTTTCCTAGGCAACTAAAATATGGAAAGACAAGAAACCTACCAAAATGGTTTTTCTTCCCACAAAAACACCTAAGAACCAACTTCTCTTTAGGCAAAACAAAGAAGTTGGATGCGTTGCAGCACCACACATGCCATTCTCAAGTACATGCAAAGATCCCTCTTATTGTGCTTTATCCCTATTCATCCTAATCAAGAAGCACCTTAACAATGAAGCCAACTTGAATGAATTGCAATGCAACGAAGGCCACCATAGAGTGATCAGAATGTTCTCAGAACTTTTGTGCTTTTCAGATATCAGAGTTCAGTATCATCAAATACCACCTTAGAGTGCCTTCTAGCATATACCTTTATCTCCTCAATCTTTTTTATGCCAGTAAATTTCAAGCCTATTTTGCCGATGATTATATTGTTTACATATGAAACTAAAACAGAGGTCAAATTGAACGCCAAAGAAAAAAACAAAGGAAAGAAAGAGCAGGAAAAAAGAAATTAACAGTTAGTACGCAGTTCTATAACTTAAAGCTATTTAGCTGCTTGTTTAGGTCATCTTGGGGTTTGCAAAAACAGAATGCAAGATAAGAATACTCACCTAGATTTTGTCATTCCCTTTGATGCTTATCATTTCCCTTGAGATTTTTCAACTGCTTCAGGATGTACTGGATGACCTCCTTCAAACTAGCTCTCCTCTCTTCTTTATAGTTCCAAAGTTCACAAACTGCATACCTCCCACTTGGGTTGCATTCATTTATCTCCAACAATGCTGTAACCACAGCTTCACATACTGCTTCACCCCACTCATCCCTCAGCTCTGTAAGTTTCTTGTCACTAAGATCTATTATTTCCTGCATGCTCAGAAGTTACCCTCAACAGATACAGGATATTATAAACAAATACATCCAAAATTCATAAATATCCATTTCTCAAATTTGAATGGTGATGGCATAACTTAACAAGTTTTCAAACTGGATACCTACTTGAAGTTTTCCATTTACGCTGATTTTTCTAAATGGATGCCATTCTGAATCTCTAATATTTTCCTGCCACAATGAGCATAGCTCAGAAAATTTGATCTCCCAGCCTCCAGATGGAAATTTCTGCAGGCACACATCTCGAAATGGTTTTTCATTGAGCTCCCCTAGTCGTTTGATCCCAATTACAGAATGACCATTAATGAAGTTTTGCAGACCCTGTATATCAAGGTAAGTAAGCTGCATGCCCTAAAAGATTTCTTTGGTTGGATAAGACAAGAGATGCTTACATTAATCAATTCTTTACGTGCTTCCTGAAGCTCCTGGTTGCTTTTGTGCTCTCTGACAATAAGAGTTCGATTCAGGATTTCCAGATGCTCCATTTCATCTGCTTTCTCTTGCAATTGTTTCCTTAGAGACCCCATCTCCTTTTGAAGTCGACGAATTTCATTACCTTCTGACTCGATCTTCTTTTGAAGTTCACAAATTCCATCTGCTTTCTCTTGCAGTTGCTTACTCAGGGACTCTATCTTCTTCTGAAACTCACAAATTTCATTACCTTCTTCATATTTCAATCTTGACACTTTTCCCTCCATTTGGTTTAACTTCCTTTTCAACTGCATTTCAGTTGCATTCCAGATGTTGAGATTATTATTTCATAATTGTAATAAAATATAATAGTAACATAATTAGCTATGAACCCCAACTTTGGTTAACGGGTTCTTATTACAAATTTGAGAAATATGCCTTAAATTGAGAAAGAATTAGCCCTCAGTCATTAAGCAATTAAAAGCTTCATACATAATAGAGTTCCTACAATCCAGTAAAAAGCATGACTTGACATAAGGGCATCGATACTTAAATTAGGTTGGACACAGAACTCTGGAAGGATTCAAATGTTACCATGTTAAGTAGATAGTATGTCACAATAAAAGAAACAATTTTATTAAATAAAACGTACATAGTATGTCATATTAAAAAGATACTATAGTACTTATATAATAGATATAAGCACATATTTATATACCCCTCCATTGAGAGAATGTGCTTTGTTTCTAACTTTCTATCATTCAATAAATTCCTTGTTTCTGTCTTTTGTTACCCCCATGAACACCATATTACCAAATAGCCTAGTATCAGTTCATGTGTTTACTTCGTTTCTACTGCTCCAATTAGGGTCCGTTTGGTTCGTGGGAATAGGGATCTGGAATCAGAATCAGAATGATCCATTCCAATTCCAACCATTTGGTTGGGAAGAATTGAAATCCCATTCCCATTCCTGGTGGAATGGCATTCATCCGAGGGAATGGCCATTCCCTCCCCCTCCCTTGGGAATGAGAATCCATTCCAGCTTATTTCAATTCCAATTTCAATTCCCATCTCAACCAAACAGGCAGGAGGAATAGACCAATCCGATTCCGATTCTAATTCCAACCTCGAACCAAACAGACCCTTACTTTTGTTTCCCATGTTAACATTAATAACTTAAATTTCATATCCCCATTTAAATTTTTATTCATTATCCCCATTCGATTCTTATATGTATAATAAGAAACGTATCTTCTATTTGCATATGTCCTACCAATTAGGGTACAGGAGAACCTTGGTGAGAATGAATTTGAAGGACTAAGATAGCCAACTATGTGAAAAGTATAACCTGCTTCTTATAATTTCACATGCCTAATAAAGAATAGAAGGCAGCAGAAGCAATGCAGTAATGATTCTACAAAATTTCAAGACACAAGAAGGTTGTCCATTGAGGGTGAATCAAATTGATATATTGCTTATTCATGACTTGTGAATAAACCCTAGTTGTTTCTAGGTCAAAGTAGAGAAGAAGAAAGAAGAAAGAAAAGAGAAAGAAGAAGAAAAAGGAGAGGAGAAAAGTATTCGGCCAGACTAGAAGAGAGGATGTACAAAAGTACCTCTCCTAGCCGACCCACTTGACTTTTATTCAT